CTTTGAGAGAAAATTGCCCTATTCATTTTCCTATTCTTTTAGAAGCCCGAACCACCCATACAAGTGGGAGTTTTATTGTTCCTGGAGGCCTAATGTCCTTTTTTATTCACGGGACTATACAGGTAACAGGATAGCCCATCCCCTGTAACCCCCAATCCCGGTGGCAGCGGGATTTGATCCCAGGTCTCCACTCTAACAAGTAAGAAATTCTACCGAGTAAGAGATTCTAACAAGTAAGAGATTCTACCGAGTCACCATCAGTAGCCAAGTTGTTAGTTTTGTTTGTGAGTGATTATGCATAGACAATAATTATATATATATTGGTGATTTATCGCCTTTCAACCTAATAACTTGTATCAAATCTTCTTACTCTATAGCTTATATCAATATTTTCAATTTATAGTGCCTAATTGAATAATTGATTGCCTAGGGACCGATTAGACTAATTGAATTGTTACTTGACTTAGATTTTAGGTTCATTTTCCACCAAATTACTTGTCTGTATAAAACCATTGACTTGACCAACAATATGGTGATCTAACTAATTAAACCATTGAATCATTTGATTTGTTTAGTAGGGTGATGAAATGGACATTAATTTTCTCTTTTCATAAGTTTTGAATTCCATTTCCATCATTTAACAAACATGAAAGTGGTTTCATTGCTAAGGCAGTTTTAAATTTTGTATTCCCTTTCTATCATTAATAAAATTTTTTCTTATTTATCATACGTAAAAACCGGTTTTGTTTCCAAGTTGATTTTCAATATGCAAGTTTTTATACTATTAAAATTGTTATTTATGAATTTAATTAGTGAAATTTAATGATGAGAAACAAAAATACATTAAACATATGATTCAATGAGAGAGAATGGAATGAAATAAAACATAGTATTCAATTTACAATTTATATCTTCATAATATATATATATATATATATACATATATTACATAAAGAGAGAGAGAGAGAAAGAGAGAGAGAAAGAGAGAGACCAAATTTAAAGAGAAGGGTATTTTAAGTCAAGAAAAGTTTAAAAACCTTAGAGATCTATTGCCACTTCTTATAGATTTCAAGTAAATTGTAATTCATCTACAAATCAACATACTACTCCAAGTGTATAGAGTAGTTAAATTTGTCCAACTAAATACTCCATTTAATTACAATTACAATTACAATTCTTTAAGTTATGTGATTTATAGATGTCTATTTAAATACATTGTGAGTATTCAAAACAAATATATATATATATATATATCAGACATGTTTAGTTATTTAAGATGCATAAAAGAATTCCATTTATGTCATCTTATACAATTCGAGAAGAAGTTAACAATGGAAGGCTCAATTTATCCTGTTTTGATCTCATTTTAGACAATTAACAAAATACTTGATTTTCTCTCAAATTCAAATACGAAAGCATTAGATTTTCTAGAAACTCTAGGGGTTCTTAATGATTTTTCCAAAAAATGAAAGTCACTAATTTATAAAGCCTTTTCTAACTTGTCTTACAATTGCTCCCTTACCTTCTCTTGGGCCTCAAAAGAACTGAGTTTGAATTTTGTCGATCTTTTAAGGGAATGTTCATTTGAACAACATTTGAAATAGAGGAATTGCATTTTCTTTTTTTCTTTTTTGGCTACACGAGGCTACACAACAAGGGTAGCCCATTCCCTAAACCCATAACCCCCCAACCTATGTGCAGGTGGGATTTGATTCCAAGTCTCTCAGCTACAACCACCAAGAAACCTTATCGACTGGCCAGTTGGCAGCTTGTAAATAGAAGAACCACATTCAAAACTTATTTGATAAGGATAGTTCTTTCATCTTTAAAAGGATTTTTCAATTTCCAACCCCAACTTTTCTTCTTAATTTTAGTTGTGATGTTATTCGAAACATTCTTATCGATTATGCATTGAATAATTGGAGCACCCAAATATGGGATGCTCATAATCCTAGAAATCAATTTTTTAATTCTATTTGACTAATTTTTTAGAAAAAAAAAAGGACTTCTTGAAATGGATATTTCGGATGAAACCCTCTCAAACATCTTAAGATTGGGCAAAACTACTTATAAACCAATAGAAAAGCTAACCCAAAAACGACTATTTTAAAAAATACCGGATCAAACAACCAAACTGTTTGACCTAGGAATTGGTCATAGTTTCGGGTCCAATTTGGGTTGGACTGCTTTTTATGAAAAAACGTGGACTTTGTCAAAAAACCATTGGCCCAAGTAGTCGAACCTCTAAACCATTCGACCCAGGTAGTGATTTGCGGGTTTTTGGTCAATTAACGTCTTTCTCTCTCTCTCTCTCTCTCTCTCTCTACCCCTATTCTATTATGCTATTCTAACACACTCTCTCTATCACCTTTTATCTCTCCCCCTAGTCTCCTATCCCCTAATACAATTAATGTATCAGTATAGGCTTTTATGTTTTAAACGTTGACTTTAATGAATAAAATTATAAATTAGAATATGAATCTAATACGGACATTCTTTAGCATTAGCATTAGCAACGAACCCCTATACCCCACTACTCAAGAAGAAGCACCACTTGAGCCTTTTTGGGTTTCCTTCGAGCTAATTGAGTCTCACGCTACAAAACAAAAAGATCCAACAATAGTAGTCTTATTAATGTGGCAGGGAGAAGACATATAGGTTGTCATACAAAGTGGGTTAAATCCATGTTGATGTGTGGATGAAAAAAACTGACATCACAAAAAAGTTGAGAATATTATAATACATACTTTGAAAGATAGTGTGAATTTTGAAGTGGATTCTTCCMTAAGGCTCAGTTTGGAAGGAATGCAAATTCAAATATGTACAGTGCAAATATATATAAAATAATACAAAATACAAAATTTTGCACTCTACAAATTTGTATTTGTACTCCTTCCAAATTGAGCCTAAGGTCACAAGCATATATGGACATGCTACTCTAGATATCTACAGCTTTTTAATGATCTTATGTTCTTATCAAATAATGCAATTGCTGTTGGTAAAACAGATATATAGCCAAAGTGGACTAGAAAATTCACCACAAGATTGTTACAAACTTACAAAGCATAACATTCAGAATGAATTAAATTGTAATAACCCAATCCTTCAATCGGTTTTATGATACCTCTGGTACCTCATATGGTTACACAAGTGTTATTGGACCCTGATTAGATATGGTTTAGTTGTACTTAAAACATTAAATTGAAAATAAAATGTGTAACTTGTTTATGAAATGTTCAATGCACCAAAATGTGGGGGTAGGGCATGTTAAAMTTAAGATCAATAACTAAGGATTTCAGCAATCAGTAGGGTCAAATTGCCAAATTGAACAACCATCCCATTTTCATCTTTATCTATTTCAATTATGAGCATCCTCATGCAATCTTGGTAGCGTTGTGACTAGATATAGAACATGTTTTCTCTATTTTCTACCAGAATAGTCAAGCTATCAACCACTCAATTGACTAGATGAAGTATTGTGATGATAGACAAAAGTTCAGTCCCATTTATTAAAAGAAGTCATGTGTCTACATTAGGGGTGGCCACAAGTCGAGTCTTTCATAAGCTATTCGAGTTCGGCTCGATTTTGTTTAAACCGAACTTCAAGCTGAATTCGAGCCCAATATATAGACTCGTTTGTTAATCGAGCCGAACTTAAACCCAATGAAGCTCGACTCGTAAGGCTCGTGATCCTAGTTTTAAATAAATAATTTTTATTATATACATACTTAATAAATTATTTTATTATATATATAATAATAATATTTTTATTTTTTATGTATAATAGTAAATAATTTTTATAATTTTGTTATACATATAATATTAAATAATTTTATAATTCTTAATTTTTTGTCTAAAAATTTTATACATATAATTTTTATTTTTCAAAAAACTTGGCTTATAGTCGAGCTGAACTCGAACCTGTGAACTATGAACCAAGTCGAGCTCAAATCTCTAGCTTCAATCAAGCTCGAGCTCAAGTCTCTAACTTCAATCGAGCACGAATTCGAGCTCAAGCCTGATATTATTCCTGTGAGCCGAGCTCGAATAGCCAAGTATTCGGCTCGGCTCGAATTGACTCGAATCCACCCCTGGTCTACATTTAAAGCCTCTATTTCTACAAAACAGTTGAAACTGCAAAGCATGAAAATGGGCCTTCCTGCCCCTTTCCTTTGTGGCAATTCCTTTTCTACAATATCTTTTTAATTTTTCATACTTTTAATCATTACCATGATAACCTCCCACGTCCGTGCCCACTTATTAGTAAAATTAACAATGGGGTAGCCATCCCCCAACCCAGTTGCAGATGGGATTCGACCCCAAGTCTCTGCTACGACCAGCAGAAACCCTACCCCACCTTGCGATCATGCATATACTTGAAAAAAGATGTTTGCATTGTCTTTCTGGCTCATCCAGGCAATGATTTGGCATGGGGATTTCATATTTGGTCAGCTCATTCAAACCACATCCACATGGCAGCAAAACCAAGACCAGGACTAGCCAGGCTTGGCAATTCCTTGTTTTTAAACTCTCCACTCCAAGAGTTAAAATATGGTTCACAAGTGATGATATTGGGTCTATCAGGAACCAAGGTAGTCACTTTTTAGTATAATTTTTCTCACCATCTCAACTAATGCTTGTTAGACATTCCAGGCTCAAGGGGTGTTCAACATAAATGTTTTTAGAAAATGACAAAGCGGAGAAAACAACAAAAACAAAAACATTTTCAGTTTGATTCAGAAAAATAATATTGTTTCTCAAACCAAAAAAAAATAAAAAAAAATTCTCAAAAACAAGAATCGTTTTCACTCCCATAAGCCTGATATGAGCCACTATTTGGTGTTGAAGCAAACCCCAAAATATCTTGTACACTCTTATGTGTGCAAAGTTCAAATAACATTCATTTGACCCGAAGTTGGATTTATGAAACATATAATATGAAAAAACAAAAATTCAAGAAACATGTTTCTAGTCTGGCCTTTGGCAAAATACACTACACAACCAAGAATGTGTTTCCTGTGCATTAGCTTTAAGAGATAATGTCCTGTACAAACCATTTGATGGGCTCAGTTATCTGATCAGAACAAAGAAATCAGCTGATGTTGGAAAGCACCTCCTAAATGACAGAATTCTTGCAAAGCCACAAAAATTAGGCAATTGGAACGCTGTTGATTGAAGGGATGAACAAAAAATGCTGTTAATATGGAGTTTTGTTCTACTTTGAAACATTGTACTAAAGCTGAATGGAGATAAGCTGTTTGGGATGAAAGTACATCTCTTAGGTGGAATGCATAAAACATCATAGCAACTGTGGACTAAAATCATACAGGCTCTGATAAACCATGTTGAACGTGAGATAGTTCAAAGTTCAAACATCAGTCTACGTGCATCTGTTGTTCCAGGAAGCCTGAAGAAATATTGGCCTCTGGCTTCATTTCTCTATATAAGCAGGTCAAAGTGAACTGGATCTCTGACCACCTTGGGTGCCATTTATCTGCAGCTACAAACTCAGAAACAACTCCATCAACAACCAAACTACTGCAACCAGCTGTCTTCTTCACTCCTCGGCTTTCCATGATCTCTCTAATCTTATCTGAATAACTCCACCTCCCACAAGCTGCATATATATTGGATAATAGAACATAACCACCCTCTCTCTCTGGCTCTAGTTTCAGAAGTTCTGTCAATGCCATTTCTGCAAGCTCTAAGTTTCCATGAGCTCTACAAGCACTCAGCATTGCCCCCCAAATGGATCTACTAGGCTCCATTGGCATATTTTCTATCACAGATTTTGCTTCACTCAGCCTCCCAGCTCTTCCTAGAAGATCCACCAGACACCCATAGTGTTCAACTCCCGGTTGTATACCATAATTTTTTTCCATACTGTTGAAGATTGCAAGCCCCTCGCCCACCATTCCACAGTGACTACAAGCGGCAAGAACAGCAACAAATGTTACCCGATTTGGCATGAGATCTTCCTGCATCTCCCAGAACAATTCCAAAGCTTTATTTCCATAACCATGGAATGCAAACCCAGCAATCATTGCTGTCCATATGGCAACATCCTTTTCACTGATTCCCTTGAAAACAAGAAAAGCTTTCTCAATGCTCCCACACTTCCAATACATGTCTATCAGTGCTGAACCCAAAAATTCATCTAGTTCCATGTGTGCTCTAAGTGCCCACCCATGTATCCATCTCCCTTGATCCAGAGCCCCTACTTCTGCAAAGGCAGAAACCAAGTTGACAATAGTGACTTTGTCAGGCCTTACTTCTTCAGAAAGCATGCCCTTGAATAAATTCATCACAGCAGGGTAGTTTCCCTTCTGTACAAAACCAGAAATCAGAGAATTCCAAGAAACAAGGTCTCTGTTAGGCATAACATCAAAATAAGTGCAAGCAAGTTCCAATTCTCCAACCTTGGAGCTTCCAGMWATTAGGGTATTCCATGAAATAGTATCCCTCTCAACAAATGCATCAAAAATCCTACGAGCAAGATCCAACTCTTCACATTTTACATACATATCCAAAAGAGCATTACCCAAGATTAAATTCCAATGACTGACCTCCTTTCTCCGTTCAATCCATGCATGAACTGCCTTCCCCAACCATGAATTTCTCAAATTCCCACAAGACATTAGGAGACCAACCATAGTAAACTCATCTGGATCAAGGCCAGAACCAATCATCTCAGAGAATAGCTTTAGTCCTTCTAAGGCATGTCCATTCCTTGCATATCCAGAAATCATGATATTGTATGAGACAGTGTCTTGACTGGACATTCGTTCAAACACCTGATGTGCAAGACTCATTTGTCTATACTCGCAATACATTTTGATGAGGGARTTCTGCAAATAAGTGTAGGATGAGAAGCCAGTAACAATGGCATGACCATGGATTTGCTTCCCCTCTGATAAACATTTAGAGGCCTTGAGTAGATAGAGAAGAGTGTGTTTATCTGGATAAATGTCAGATCGGAGCATGGAGTTGTAAAGTTCAAATGACTTGTTTGATGTGGGCAAAGCAGAGATCATGATGTTGTAGATATAGAGATTGGACCGAGGAGTATAGTGATTGAAAAGGATGATTGCCATGTCTAGATTTTCAGGATGGGAGATAGCAGAAAAAAAGAGAAGCCTACTCATGGGAAATCTTACAGTGATAAGATGGTTTCTCATCATTTGAGCCAAGATTTGTTTGAAGTGATGCCTTGTTCTGCATTTTTCAAGCAGAACAAGTGTTGGGTGGCCAAGAGTGAGGGACATAGTTGGATCCCAGCTGGCCATGACAGTTGATGTGAAACGATGGCTATAATGATGCATGATAAATTCCCAGGAGATGCTCAAGAGAAGTAACAAATACAAATAGCTGCCAACTCTGACTTGGAGGGGCAGAATGATGAGTTCAAAATTTTAAAACAATATTCAGTGTTCTAGAAAAGTGACTAATCTTCCTTAAATATGAAGCAAAGTTTAGGAGGTATTTTTAGAACCTAGTAAAAAATATGAATGTATTTTTATTACAATTATGATGAAGTTCAAATTTCTAAAGGTTATGGGAGACAAAAGAACGAAATAACTTCTAGAACCATTATAATACGAAGTAAAATTAACCAGAAAACACTTCTGAAGCCAGTGGGAACACATCATACAAAAATAAGCTCTGAAAAGAAATTAGAAACATAGAGGGGAAGAAATTAATCTCAAGAATCAATTCTGTAGTAAGTAGTATTAGGTCAGGACCACCCACTAGAAAGGCATTAAATCATCACCAGACATGAAGGAAACAGGCATATTAGTTTCATAAGCATGAAGAGACTCCATCCTCGAGTCCAGTATTGCCAATTGAGACTTCACCCACGGTGGATTGTACTTAGCTTCAATCCACAAAGCTTCTCCAGTATGCTTGTGCTTGAAATCTGGGTATCTTGGGTTTCTCTGCAAATATAGAAAATCCTAGAATTATAATTACCAAAGGCTGAATTTAAGTCTTCCAAAGTAATAAACATGAGAACAGACAACGGTCGGCAATGTACATTTGGCAAGGAGAAATGTATGGAGTTGGTTTAACATAGTCAATGAGATCTCTGCTAGAAGTTGCAATAGAGTTATTTAACCAATCACTATTGTATATGTGGATTATCATTGATCATAATATTTACCACTCCAAACCACACAAGCATCCATCATGTAAAGACACATGTTCCTGTTAAAATACTTGAATAGACATGTATCTACTTGACTTGGGAAAAATTAATTGACTACCTTGTTCCTCCTATTATCCCACCAGTCAACTGGATTGGCAAAGAATGCCTGCCAAAGTTGTTCTGTGCTGCTTGCATCAGTACCACCATCATTTCCAATCTTCCCAACTGTAATATCAAGGTAAACAAAACAACGATTAAAAAATGAAAAAAAAAACACATATACTAATCTAACCAGGCTAAATTTAACCAAAGGATACCAGTTTCTATAGAGTCTTTGCCATGCTCATTTACTGGCAATTGTGAGAAGCTATTTTCAACAAAGTTCAGTTGTTGAACAACAACCTGCAGGAGATGCTAAGACTGTAAGACATTTAGAATACAATGATTGGTGGAGTGGAAGTTTCAAGCCATATTTTTTTTGGTAATCAGTTTTAAGGCCATAGAATTTAAAGAACCTTGTAGTAAGTCTGCATTTTCTCTTCATCCCCTCGAACAGTATCTGAGACCAGGCGCCCAGAAACATATATTCGGTGGCCTTTCTCAACATGCTGATAAGCAATGTGTGCCAACTCATCCCAGAATGTCAAATTGATCCTGAAGAGAATCATCAATCATTTCTGAGAAATGATAAAGACCTTCTATGTAATACCATAAATATCAACCACCAAAATAATCCATTTGGGGGGGTATCATATCAAATCAATGAAAGATAAGACAATGAACTCAACAGATGGAGTTATTTTACATCGAGTTATTGGTCCATTTCTCTTCAGCAACAATATGTGAATAGCTTTGCTTTACTTTTCTGGACTTTGGAGCCATGGTGCAGGTTGTGCAAACTAACATACAATTATATGTGCAATATTATTGGGACTAAGGCATAAATGCGAATCTTGGCACATGCTACTAATACACTCCAAAATATTATTGAGTTCAAAACCAGAGTATACATATTTTTATGATCAAGAATTAATAATGCTATTACATACGCATAGATTGCAAGCTTTTCAACACGTGAGAATTAACTTATCCAATCAAGTAACTTCGGCAAGCCAAGGTCCGAAATCCTCAAAACAGGAATGGAAAACACAATCCCACACTAATGTATTTCCCACTTCTCTCCAAACCCTGGAATCAAGAATTCAAGCAAAGGGAAGCAGATACAAAGAAGCAGCAGTGTTCAAAATTTTCAAATCAACGACTTTTTAGCACACCAGATGATAACTACAGTACGACCTAAAAAAGCGAGTAGATTACCAGACTGTATCGGAGGCGGATTTCTTGACGCCGAGGCGGGTCCAGGCGAGGACCTTCCCGGAGTTGAGGTGCTTGATTTGAACTGGAGCTCCGACGTTGCCGATAAGGTGAACCGAGTTGGAAAGCTCCTTCTTCCATTGAATCTCTGAGGGTCTAGGGTACACCACTCGGTTGTGGTGGTAATAGTCGWTGTGGTCGTTGTAGTCGATGGAGCATCGGAGATGGCGATGAAACCCCAACGGTTTGTTGTTTGTTGTGGCCGAAGAAGTGGAGAGATGGTGGGAAGTGAGAGGGTTTGTTAATCGCAACGAAGAAGAGGAGAGGCAGGCTTTTATTAGTGCAGGAGGGTTTGGGAGTGGGAGAGTAGTGGAGATATACCTCGTTCTCGTTACTACTACTTGGGCTTGTAGTGACGCCATCGCTCCCTCTCCCGCTCGCTCGCTCTCGCGCGGTGCCAAAAGAAGGCTGTAGATTTTTTCTCGAGAGWTTCTGGGACTACTCCTACTCCAGCTTTATTTCTCTAATCTACACGAATCTATCTACTTTTGCCACGTGGAAAGATCTAGCGACTGATATAGGCCGTCCATCAATTTTTTATTTTTTATTATACCAAAAAAGTATGTATATATATATTAAAACAAATGGGTCAAAAAA